TCTAACCGTCAATAACATTGGTGTTGTGTAGCCGACGTTATAGTCAAACTGCTGTGCAACCGAAAGAATTTGCAATCTCATCTCCAAGTCCTCTTTTGTATCATAACATTGCCCAACAGCTAAGTCTACTAACCGCATTTCCAACTTCACAAATTCAGGAATCGATGATAAACCTCTTTTCTTATGTGGTAGATTTTCCCTTGGTTCCTCGTCATCTGTAAATCTACCACACCTACCGTATTCGTCATCGTCCGAACTTGCACCGTCCGGATCGTCGCAGTAGTCAAATCTACAATTATCTTCTTCATCCTCTTCAACATGTTCATCACATGCTTCGGTTGCGACTTTCTCATCTACGACGTTTTTATCTCTACCAACCACATTTTTTTGCTTTATTTCTTCAACCTCGACGCACAATCCAATCATCTCGTTCTTAAATTGTTGCAAAAACCCACTCAACTGTTTTGAATTCCCAACAAAAACGGATGGTGTATCTAGAGGTAAATGTGATAAGAACTTCTTTGACAACATGTAACTCAACTTTACCTCAAAAAACCGTCGATCCAAGCCGAAATCCTTGTATACCATACCAAGGAACTCGTTGTAGGAGGTTGCATGATCTGCTCCTATAACTCTACACCCTTTTGACTTGTCAACTAAGAAGATCCATCAATTTTTTGGAAAACTCCATCTACCACATACCAAAATTATTTGTTCCATTGAAAATCAACCCAATTTTTAGTTTCAAAAGTAGAGGTTGAAGAGAGGAGATTCGTCAAAACAAAGAAAAGAAGCTATGGCGGCTAACCCTATTTTTTCAGTGTCGTTGAAGGTTTTGCCTGCAATTGTTTCATTCTTCTGAGGGCAAAAATGACATTTCGCATACTCTGTAAACAAGTCTACCACCTACCACAAAAAGTCTACACCTACCACAAACAATTCTACCATAACGCTTATTGCAAGTCACAGGAAAAGTCTACCATTATTGTATAAAATATTACAAATCTATCATAACATAATACAGCCAAACAAGTCTACCATTGGAATCGAAACAACTCTATCGTCGTTCAATATTAACAAACAAGTCTATCATCAAAACATAAAGTCTATCGTAACTTATTCTAGCTAAACAATTCTACCAATAGCCAAACAAGTCTACCATTGCAATCAAAAACGCAATAAGTCAACCAATGTCAACAAGTCTACCAATGTCAACAAGTCTACCAACTGAAGGTTGTTTTAGTAAAAAAGTGAAAAGATTGAATAAATCTACCACTACAATAAATAAGTCTACCACAAATTATAACTCTACCACTAGTATAAATAAGTCTACCATTGCGCGAACCATCAATAAGTCTACCGATCACAAAATTAACTCTATCACTACTACTTATAAGTCTATCACTCCAAAATAAATTTACCACTACTATAAATAAATCTACGACTGCAATGCATCAGTCTACCGTAACTACTCAATAAGTCTACCACAAATTATAACTCTACCACTAGTATAAATAAGTCTACGATTGCGCGAACCATCATAAGTCTACCGATCACAAAATAACTCTATCATAACTACTAATAAGCCTATCACTTTAAAATAAATCTACCACNACTNTAAATAAGTCTANGATTGCGCGAACCATCAATAAGTCTACCGATCACAAAATTAACTCTATCACTACTACTTATAAGTCTATCACTCCAAAATAAATTTACCACTACTATAAATAAATCTACGACTGCGCGAACCATCAATAAGTCTACCGATCACAAAATTAACTCTACCACTACTGCTAATAAGTCTATCACTCCAAAATAAATCTACCACTATTATAAATAAGTTTACGATTGCGCGAACCATCAATAAATCTACCGATCACAAAATTAACTCTACCACTACTACAAATAAATCTACCACATTTTATAAATCTACCACTACTATAAATAAGTCTACCATTGTGCGAACCATCAATAAGTCTACCGATCACAAAATTAACTCTACCACTACTAGAAATAAGTCTACCACATATTGAAAATTTACCACTACTATAAATAAGTCTACCATTGCGCGAACCATCAATAAGTCTACCAACCACTTAATAAATCTACCATTACATTAACGGTAGACTTATTCGCTTTTGGCGGAAAAATTTTGTTGCCTCATTAATGACAGTTTCGTAAATACGTTTTTTCTCTTCAAAGGAAATAAGGTTAAAACGGGTATAAAAAATCTTTTAAATTTGTTTGAGTAATAGTCAAAGAAGAGTATCATTTTGGTCAAAAATCAACTTTCCAAACTTTTTGTAAAACTCCCTTAAATTAAACATTCATATTTTCCTTATTCCTACTGATTTTGAGATATCTGTAACGTTCAAGACAAACTCTCAAACATGTTTTTTAAGTTGATTTTTCGATTGGGATACGGTAATTTGCTTTTGCTGCTAAAACAGTTAAATATTTCGTTGACAATTATTTTATGTAATTACGAATACATGTATCGAAAATATAATTGATGCAGCTGAAAACTACTTTACTATCTCAGAGATAGGTTCAATGTTTTTTCTAGTTCGACTTAGTGCCGCTCTTTTCCTAGCTTGCTGTGGTCCGGCTTGAAATGGATTCAATTTTTTTTCTCAACGCAAAAAACATGTGGAAATGTTGGTCAGTTGACTCAGTCTGAGTTCGAACGTTTCTATCAAAACGTTTCCAAGTTGTTGGTTTTTTCTAGATGTCGTTTGAAGGTTTGTTCGGTCTAGATTATTAGAAACACATAAATTAGCAACTAGCCACTCCGTTAGTCCTCCAAGATTTAGGAAATTTTGCGGGCAAAGTGTATTTTTCTATCTTCAAGTTTTAGTGTCTATTTCTTTTGTTTCACTTATTCAATCTCTTTAATCTTTTGATTTGTTTTTAGTTAGGGTTTATTGCAATTTCTGGGAAGAGAGGATAGTCGTGGACTCGTGGCGAAAGAAAAATGCTGCGTGGTATCATCCAATCCTCCTCTTAGGTATTTCTACTTCATCTCTAAATTTCACATACACAATAGAGGTTTAGGGTTTGTTTCGATTGACTGATTCCATTCGATTTTCCAGATTTGTACGAGAAGGGCATCTTTGTATCAAGTGAGGTCCTTTGCAAGAGCTAATGAACTCAACAGCAACAACACCAATAAAGATGAAACTGAGCATAAAAAAAAAAACAGTGTTGAGTGCGAATTCAGCTCTACTTGATGCTGAAAAATGCATAATCGATTACGAGAAGATGATCAGAAAAGTTCGTCTAACAATGTCTCACGTAGAAAAAGCCATGGAGTCTGGAGACGTTACCCAAACCAGAGATGCGGTTAGAGACTTGAAGCACAATCTCATCTTCAATGGAAGATCATCATCAAGAAAGGAGGACACTTTCCCCAACTGAATTGACCGCCGTGCTTCTACAAAGGTTTGGATGGGACGAAATCTCAGGATTTTGCAAATGAAATATGATCTCGACTCGTACCACATTTCTGATGAGCTTGCAAATGTAACTCTAGCAAGGACAATTTTTACAACTTTGGTTTTAGGTTTGGTTTCCTATCTTTAGTTTAGTTGCAGCATGTATGGAATACAATGTTAAAAGTTTTCTTCTTGATACGAGTCTTTCTAAGCCCTTTGGCATAGTTACTGCACAGTCCGTTAGTTGCTTGTCGATGGGCACATTTTCATGTAAACTTTGTTGGAGCTAAGCCTAGTGAAATGGTGGATGAGGGAACGAATGTTTCC